GCTCTCCAGGTCCCTGTACTCTCGGTGGTGGGGCTGGTCCAGTCTTCTCTCCCAATAGTTATTCCTTCTGCTATAAAGCTGAGCAGGGCTTGACTACAGCCTTGCGTGTTTCCTCTTTTTCAGTCTCTAACCTTTGTTTACCTTCAGTATTATGAGCCCCCTCCTTGCCCTCTGAGGGAATACTTCAATTAGGAGGAAACTCACACAATTGGAGCTCCTTCAGACATGGACAACAGGCCAGGAGCGGCAGAAGGGGGAGGGGAAGTGAAAATTGTCTTTGTTCTCTTTACAGGCAAAGTTACAAGTAACACACAGGACACCGGGTCTCATACATTAATGTGTACAGATATATATGCATATATGGTTGTGTAAAGAAAGTAGCCCGATGCTTGCAAGCTCCCAAGCTGGCCTTCCATCATTTCAGGGGTAATGGCAGATGACCTAAGATTCACGGATCCAGTACAAGCCCCTTGCTACTTACATCAATACCATAAGCCAGAAGCTAGAGGATCAACATTCAGAACAGCTTCTTGGCCTCTGTTCCCACAGTGTGGTGCAAAGCAGGTTGTGTGTATCATCACACACATGTCAGACTGCACATTTCAGAGGAACATCAAGCTTAAGAGCCTCAGGTCCTTTATAACAGATAGGAATCATGCCTAACTCATATCCAAGGCTGTCTCTAGTTTTTATTATGTTATAGACTGGTTGGATCTACTCTTTGATCTAAGAGGGAGATGCTATATATATTGTCCAAGCATGTTTTCTGTATAGCCTTCCTTGTGCCTGGAACAAGAACAGCCAGGGGTTCTGTTTGCAAAACATGCACACATGTATCCCATGTAGAACTGTCCTCCAATGGGGTTTATTTCTTCCCACATGAGTGACTATTCATGATTCAACACAGAGTTTCTCATCTACCCAGATGTGTACAACGTGGACCCTAATGTAATCTGGAATCCATGTATGGATCTATCTTTTTATAGGTTCTTTATTCTATTAGTTGATACTTAATAATCTTATACTTTCATCTCCACTACAATAGTTCTTTCTCACACACCCAAACGCAGGCCCAGACTGTTCTCTGCTCATTTTACTCCTTTTTGTAAAAATCATTTTATTCTTCCTTCTATGGAAGATAAATGTATATCAAAGTCCAATACCAAACATGTTCTAGCAGCTCAGACCTCGCTCTGGATTATTCTGCTCCCTCATGACATTGGTTTAAATGTTTTCTAACAAGGCCTTTTCAGTTCCCGCCAATGTCATGTCCCACTCAGCTGAACAGAAGCTTGTCCCCGGCGCTCTGCTATCCATTCTCTCGTCACCAGGAACCGGCCGGCGGTGAGAGCCACGCCGCAACTTTGACTCCTGGGCTTCTCTTTGTCCCTCTACATCATTCTCTGCCCCTCAGAATGCTTCTCGTTCTCTTCGAGAAGCTTAGCTATCTGTGCATCTTAAAATCTTTTATGTCTCTCATCTAACAGTTTTGACTTCAGAGTGGTTTCCAGGAGACCTAATCAATCACATGCCAGAAATAGAAGTCTTACATCCAGGCTCAGTTTTAAATCCTTTGATCTCACAGAATGTTGCCTTGCATGCAATGATGTTCAAAAACATGTTTAATTAAATGAGTGAAGCTACCAGATTCTTCTGATGCTATATTGTTACCAAGGAATTCAGGTTTTCATTTGGCATTGCTTTAACATTCTCCTCCTCTTGTAACCTTTCAAATCCACAGAAAATAGTATAGTTAAATATTTTTAATTCCCACTGAGATCAAACAGATATTGACAGACTGCCCACTTTTTTTTATTCTGTAGTTACATGTACTTAAAATAGTGAGTGCTTTTGTTTTTGTATACTTTAAATCTTTAATAAGTGAATTTCAAACTTGCTTCCCCCCAAAACATCATGTTTGAAGATTTATCTGTATTTATGCACTAAATTCGAATCTAACACATCTTTTATAGAACTATATTACACAGTTTATTTATTTCACTTCTTAGCATTCCACTAGTTTCCCGCCACTGAGATTACACACCCAAGAATAACAACTTAAAAGGAGGTAGCATTTCAGCTCACAGTTTGAGAGATGTCAGTCTAGAGGGAGGACACAATGTCAGGGAGGCAGAAAACGTGAGGAAGTGAAGGACAGGGAAGAAGATATAGCCTTGAAAAACACGACCACAGTGACCTCTCTCCTCTAACTGGGCCCTGCCTCCGTGAGTGGCCACCCCTTTAGCAGTCCCTTCAGGGGACTTATGTATTTATTAGATTTATGCCGTCGTGATCCAGTTACCTGAACACTGCTGTGTTAGAGGCCAAGTCTTCAGAACGCAAGTCTGTGGGTTTATAACATACAGTTATAAACCATAATAAACATTGAATCCTACAATAAGCTTCCATACATGTCTTCTTGAGCATGTTTGATAGTCTTTCAACTAGATGCCAAGCACTGAAAGTGTTTTATAAATTTTGTATGTAGCCTTAACTTATTAAGGATATCCAATTTATTATATCTAATATATGATTTATGATAACATTGATCATTATACATTATAAAATATTTTACCAAATTACAGCATATAATATTTGTGATTTGTGGAAAGTACCTAGTATAGATATGGGTAAGAATTGTGGTCCATACATGCTGTTCATGATCTCCTGCCTGTAACTCAGATGATTATAAAATCTATACTATTAGATAGTTAAAAGTTAGTGACTTGGAGACTCATCCCCCAATTTTCTTTCCTGTAGGTATTTATGAGCCTCCATTTCCTCTACTACTGCAGTGAACCAACCTTGGACGTGAAAATCGCCTTTTGTCAGGTGTGTGTTCCTCACAGGTAAAACAAGGTACAGTACACTCCCTTGTATTTCACGTTTGCCTTTCCATTGTCATATGCACCACACCAAGGCTGTCCTCATGTACCGCTATTTCATATGCACCACACCAAGGCTGTCCTCATGTAACGCTATTTCATGTGTACCACACCATGGCTGTCCTCATGTAGCACTATTTCATATGAACCACACCAAGGCTGTCTGTCATGTAACGCTATTTCATGTGAACCACACCAAGACTGTTTGTCATGTAACGCTATTTCATGTGTACCACACCATGGCTGTCCTCATGTCGCGCTATTTCATATGAATCACACCAAGGCTGTCCTCATGTAATGCTAAAAGAGCTGGGAAAGCACAGTGAATCCTTAGATTTCCCCCCTTTCTCGTTTATTAGAAACGAATAAACTTTCTGAACGGGTTCATCATTAGTTAATCTGTAAAGTGATTTCTAGTCAGATTTCTGTCCATATCCTTGGAATGTTGTGTTGATAAACCAAGCATCAGGAACATGCATTGCTGCTCATTTCTCTAAGGGCTGAGGAGTCCCAAATGCAGCATCTCTAATGACTGCCTGTTGTTACCTACAAGTGACATGCAGTTGTCTTTACAGTAGTTAGAAAACAAAGCAACAACCCCAGCGATGTTGTCAGTGGCCCCCAAAGGGAGAGCACAAAGGTAGCCACAATGGTTGGTGTTCGTGTGAAGCCAGTAAACCTGTGCGCACTTGTATTCACACAATCGCTGTCACTAGGAAAACAGTATTTTAGGGCCCCTGTGCACATGGGTGCTGTGTATAGAACAGTTTTAGCATAAAATCCCTGTCTGGGTCTCACTGTCATCCTCCCCTTTACTCTTAAGGATTGTTGGAGGTCTGGCGAGGAATTGTGTGCTAACCATATTCCTAAGCAAATCAGAAGTTGTCTCTGGGTGCTGCTTGCCGCTTCTCTCTGAGCTGAGCTGTGAATGCAGTGGCACGTGCCCACCGAAAGCAGGTTTAAGAGGGGATGCTGCCTCATCTACTGTTTTAGACAACTCTCTCCACTGCAAAGGGAACAGTGCTCTCTGTGCTTAGTTTCTGCGCTGCTCCCTCTCCCTGAACGAGAGTAGGATTCCTCCGGCAGAGCAAAGGCTTTGAGCGGCATTCTAAGACGGACTGTGTGGCCCCACCTTAGACTCAGCTGTCATGGGGCTTGAGGTTCAATCCTGTCGATGGGAACTTTTCTCTAACAAGCGCTCTGGATGCAGAGAGCGTAATCGGAAACATCCGGGTACCGGTGTTAGTAGTCGCTTACTCGTCACTGTGAGTGAGTGAGTGCCTTAACATTTTTGGGCCTCAGTTTCCCGATTTGTAAGAGGGTGAAATAAATAACGGTTACTTCTGAGAGTTGTTACAGGAACTCGACGAACTTGTACTTGCAAACATTGAAAGCACTGCTAGAGCGTCGCACAGTTGGGATTCCGAGCCAGACCTCCCCCGACGACCAGATGCATGCACACAGTTGCTTGGTTCGTCATTGCCAATTAGATGTCAAAAGAACATACTAAACAATACTGATTTAAGTCCAACACTTAGGTAGTGAGGTGGTTACACCTGTAACCCCCAGCATTAGGGAAACTGAGGCAGGGGCACCATGAGTTGAAGGTCAGCCTGAGCTACATAAGGAACTTTCCTCAGAGACAACAAAACACTATCTTCCTTACCTCATTCTCCCCATTGTCGTTGCTCAGGAAGTTCTGACTGTCCAGTCAGAGCACAAATGTGGAGTCATCTTATGAGCCGCGCCCCTCTTGACTGCAGCCATTGAGTCTGTCAGCACACTCTCTGCTAGACTTAACTCTCCACATGACTGCACGGTCACTCTCGCTCACCATCTCTCTGCTACCCCTGTGACCCAATATAACCCCTCTCCTGGCTGCATTACTCTAAGAGCACCTGCCTTTGCCCAACCCTAAATGACTTATCCTCAAAGCACCTGTGAGAGTGGCCTTCGAGTTAGGTTACTAGCAACAAAACAAGACATCCCCAAAATCTTTCAATGTCTTTGAATCTCATGGGACATAGCCCCAAACATTCATTCTAAAGCCTTTTTTACCCCCTAGAACTGCTCCCCTGAGATTTTCTACTGCCCATCCAGTTTCCCTACCTTTCTTTCCCTCAACTCCACACCTACCCTATTTGACTTACTAAGTGTGTGGCTGGTGTGCTTGGCTGCTTTTCTCTTCCCATCAGAAAATGTTTTTTTGCACTTAGTCAGAAACATTCTTCTGAGTCTTGCTAGAACCAGTCCACATGAGACATCTCACTGACATGACTATGCTTGTCTCTTCTACCTCTGTTCTCGGTAATGCCAGTTTGGTAGCCCAAGATGACTTGATGGGAGTTTTACATAAGAATGAGCTGGTACAAAAAAGAGCGGCTCCTTCCTCCTTGTTCCCATTGGTCCCATGGCTTTTGAGCACACCCGGGATTTTTGTTTCTCTTTCTCTGGTGGGCTGCAGCATTCACATGTTCTCCTCCAGACACGTACTCTGTGAAAGAACAATTCATCAGGGTTTGGATTGTCTACTCAGTTGAACCCATATTCCTGAGTGGAACAAGCCAGCCCAAGCCTCCGGGTTGTCTTGCGTAGACTGTGGCCCACAGGAGACCAGCGAGCATTGTCACCAGTATGTTCAGAAAGCTAGGCACCAGCAGGGACTGCCCGTATACTCAAAGCATTTTCTTTACTCCTAGTGTAGAAATGAAATTTGATCATGTTACATCTCTCTCTTCTGTTCCTGTAGCTCTGTCTCTCCCTTACTTCTCTAGTAATATGAAGAAAACTGTCTTTCTTTTCAGAGGTGGAGTTACAAGGGGAGTTTACCTTCAAGCTGTCCCTTGGGAACGTCTTCCTCAGGGTGTCTCACAGGCCTTTCCTATTCTGGAGTGTATAATTTTGGCACCAGCTGGGGGTGGTTGCATCTTAATTTCTGCTCCTATATACTACACAAAGATCTTAGGTAACTGTAATTAGTAGACAAATGTGTCTGTCATCTCCACCTCTTGACTGCAGCCTGGACATTATCATTGCTCCGCATTTCCATCTTTGAAACGTCTATAGGAAATCATGGAGGACCAACATTTCAGATGCTAGACGGCAACCCGATATACACGTTTATCATTGCTTTAACTAAAGATTCTATCAAGTCATCTGAATAATATGAAATTTTCTGACTAAGAATACCTTTCATTAGCAAATGTGTTACTTATTATTGGCTATTATATTACTTGTTGTCTAAGGCGTTGCTACCAGGACAGGTTTTTTCTTTTTTAATTTGGTGAGAAATTTTTCTTTGGAATGGAAGACATGAAACAATAACTCCTGTTTTCACAATACAAATGATATGATTTGCTGGGGAATATGAAGGGCTCAGTTTCTTGACCCCTCCTAGAAAACAAGGCAGCGGCCTTAACGCTGGTCTCAGGCGAGCAGGCATAAGGAGCCCTCCCGTTTCACTTGTGAGAGAATGAGGTCACACAAGTGCTCCATTGGAGTTCTTTTCTGGAACTCTTATTGCTAGAGAAGTAAAGGAGAGTTGGAGCTGTAGAAATAGAAGAGAGAGATGTAAAATTATCACATTCCATTTCTACAGTAGGAGGAAACATGTCTTGAGTCCACAGGCAGTCCCCTGCTGGCATCTTAATTTTCTGAAAGTGCTGTGGCCAATTCACACTGGTTTCCACAGGCTGCAGTCTAAGCAAGACAGCCTGGAGCCCGTAAGGAAGCTGGTGCCTCACTCCTTGCTCCTTTGCTCTAAAATGAGAGGTACTGGAAATCAAATTAACACAAAATTAAAAAGAAACAATTATTGATGGCCATGAGGAAGAAAAAGCCTTTCATGAAGGTTTAAAATATGCATGTAACCGAGCCAGAGAGATGTGGGGTCACACAAGGCAGTGGTAACACGATTCATACAGGAGATGAATCAGGACTTGAACCATGAATTTACTTACAGTGATTAGGAACTGGAACCATCCCACCCATCTGCCGGCATCTGCAGCACTTGTTACCTCTAGGGGGTGAGAGTCTCAGGTGTACAGATTTCAGCAGGAGCTGCTTGTTCCTTTCCAGCACCAATTTGTTGTGAGAAGGGCCGCTTGTTTGTTTCCCGACTGTTCAGCCTTGAAATAATCACACAGAAACTGTATTATTTAAATCCCTGCTTGGCCAATGAGCTCTAGCTTCTCATTGGCTAACTCTTACATATTAATTTAAACCATTTGTAGTAATCTGTGTATTGCCTCGTGGCTGTGGCTTACAGGGTAAAGTTCTGACCCTCATCTGTCTCTGGCAAGGCAATATTGCTTCTTTCTGACTCTGCCTCCTTTCTCCCAGCATTCAGTTTAGTTTTCCTTTCTTACCTAAGTTCTGTCCTATCAACAGGCCAAGGCAGTTTCTTTATTCAGCAGTGGTATTCACAGCACACAGAGGGGAATCCCACATCAAGAGATGATGCTGAACATGAGTCAAATAATCCCAAGCTAATTCTGAATAGAGTATTCTAAGGTTTTTCTTTACTAAAAGGGAAAACTCAAGGAACAGAAACGGGGTTCCAACATCAATGTGTGGAGCATGGAAACAAGAGAGAGAGCTAGATATGACTGCGCCTTTTTGGTCCCTAAGTCATGTCCCAACCTGGTCCTCTTAAAGGCCATTGGCTGAGGGAGGTTCCTCATCACCTCCCCCTTATTTCTAAATGAGATAGTTCCAAACCGAATACAAATCTATATATACTAAGAACAGATATCAGGTATAAAAATTAGAATTACAACCAGCATAAACAATATTAAGCAAAGAACACATGAAGAGCTATCCTTGCCCCACACAGGGATCCTGAGGTGAAAACAAGATCAGAACATTTCAACCTTGATTCTCAAGCTCAATTTATTTTTATCCAGAAAATGTTCAATACATAGTTTTGAGCTCTTAAAAGTAGAAAGACAAACATGAAATGTCCCCAGAGGAGAAATTTGCATGCTTGTCTGTGAAACCTAATTTCTCAGCATCTTATCTCTCGGAGGAGTGTGCTTCTAGCCTTGATCATGTTTTGGCTGTTTTACCAATCACAGTCATTATTAGTCTAACACCTAGTAGTTATGAAGTCTCTAACGGAACACTGATATTTAAATTGCTTATGAATAACAAAGGATTTCACGATTTGGAGAGAGCCTGAATCTCAAGAGTTAAAATTAGTCACCTGGGTCTGTAGGATGGCTCAGTCAGTGTCCTTGAAACCCACAAAGCAAGGCACAATGGCCTGTGTTTACCTATAGAAGCCAGGAATGGTGGCCTGTGCTAACCTACCCAAGCCAGGCATCGTGGCCTGTGCTAACCCACCAAGCCAGGCATCGTGGCCTGTGCTTACCCTCTGAAGTCAAGATCTACAGAAGCCAGGAATGGTGGCCTGTACTAATCCACAAAAACCAGGTGCTCTGGCTTGTGCTTCGAGTCCGATCTGTGGCAAGATGAGAGGAGGAGGAGATAGGTGAGTCCTGAAAACCACTAATCACCAGCCCAGTCAATGTAGGGAGGTCCCAGGCCAGTGAGTGACTCGGCCTCTAAGCCATGAGCAACAATAGTACCCTGACGTAATAATAATACCCTCTGACTTCCATGTATGCACACACACCCGTGCACAGTGTGCCCCATATACATACCTACCCTATGTACAAAGTAATCAACAGGTTATAAATCTAAGTGGACTTAAAAATTAAGGAACTAGTCTAAGAAATTAAGGAGCTGAGTTGTTTTCCTTTTGCCTGTATTACCGAAACTCTTGTACTTTATGTCAAGGACATAGTCATGAATTTGATGACTGCTCATTGAGACTGGTTTCACCCTCTAGTCAACACACCTTATAGATATTTTAATTAGCTTGATTTACTCATTCTGCCTTATATGCATACAGCATCATTTTATAGTCGATAAATATAAACAATTGTAATCTGTCAATATCCAATACAAAATAAAATGAAAAAAAATGACCACAATATTTTCTTGTTTTTGTCTGTACAACTCTAGTTATTTTCAGTAGTTGAAGTCAAATTGTGTCTTATTTCAGAGCTTGAGGGCTTAACAACTATATAAAGGCTAATATGCATATTTTTTATTTTTATTATCTATTTTAAATGCTTATTTTTATTTGAGAAGGAGAGCTAGAGAGACAGAGACAGAATATGAATGAGAGAATTATCACACTCACCAAGATCATCACTCAGAACATTCATTCATTCTCTCTGAAGTAGCCGTTATAAATATTTTAATAACTTCAGTTGGCATGCAGTATTTTGATTGGGAACCAAATTAACACAAAATTTAAAAAGCAGTTATTGATTGCCATGAGGGGAAGAAAAGATTTTTACATAAATGTTTAAAATATGTGTGCTACATGCAGCAGAACTAGAGATTTGGGGATCACAAAAGTCAGGGCTGACATGATACCACTAAAAACACCAGTTGCCAGATATGTGCTGGATGATCTTGTAGGTCTTGCCAATTGCTTTGACCAATCTTTAACCTTTTATTGGGATGGCTCTTTTCATACCTACAATTTTCCTTGGTAGCTCTCCCATGGTGTCTAGTATCTCTGATATCTTAGGGTTTCTTTGTGACTTAATCTTAACCTTCACAGCTAAATAAAATGACAGCTCAGACGGAGCTTTGTTTCGGGGAATCTGTCTCTGTCTTACATTGCCTGGTCTCAGGGGCTTTCAGGAAATTGCATTCAAGCCTCCATGACCCCATAAATGTTGCACTTTGCACACCTGCTAAACCATCACTGTGCATGCAGAGCATCCTGCCAAGTTCTGCTGCCAGTTTGAGGTAAAGTGGGCCCTCTATTTACCATAAATTTGCGTACTCTGGTACCCGGATTTTGGAAAGCACACCCCAGACAGTTATTTCCCAACAGGAAACCTTCAGCAGCATTCTCAGTTCAGATTCTTGTTTCAAATCATTTGGCATTTTTCTATGTTGGAGCCTTGGACGGGTGGATGTCCTTTGAGACATCTTTCCTATTTTCTACAGATGAGCATGCACTTTCTCTATAGTAATTATAGCTGCTCTCTTCACATCTTCTTTGTCTGTGCTTTTATACTTGCTCACATTGCTTTACTCACCAAACTGTTCAATTTCTATGTCTTTCTGTTATCCACCATAGAGCTGGGGTTTGGTTTCCACTTATTTCTCTCTGCCTGCTCTGTGGTGGATAACAGAAAGAATAGGTGGCTACATAACATCGTGTCCATAGTCAAAAAGTCGCATAAAAAAGCAATGTTTGCTCTCCTCTAGCTCCTTCCTCTCTCTCATCTATTCAGTCCAGAACCCCAGTCCATGCAATGGTTCCACTCATGTTCAGGGTGGAACCTCCCTCCTCCACTAAACTTGTGGAAATCTGCTTAAAGACGTGTTCAGAGGAGTGGTTCCTAAGTGCTTTCAATCCAGTGATGTTGCCAGTGAAGAGATGAAGCATTGCAAAAACACTGCTTCCTTTGTTACTTTACTTTTCATCTTTTAATAAACTTTATAAATAGTTTCAGGTGATATTTTGCCATTTAGAAAGAGAAATTTTTACTTGAGCTTTTTATTTTATTTTGGGTTCCACTCCCATCTATTTAATGAAATATAACTCTGACTTTCCTTATATATGCTTTCATCATATTAAATTTTATGTTAATAGCCTAAAAATTCCCAGCATCCCTGCTTTTGTTTGCTTGGCTGGGGTGGGTAAGATAATAACCAAAGGCAAAGCGGATGGTAGAAGGACGTGACACATACCGTCTGATGAAATATAACTCATTGCTGTGTGCGCCACCATGGCAACTCTCCGTCTTTATTTAGGAATGAGCCATGGATTGCTTTATAATATTTTCCCTTGTGTCTACATGGAAATATGGCTGTAGTAAACTTAGTGCTCCGTTTTTGTCCTATATCCTGGCATTTTTTTCTAAAACAAAACAAAACAAAACACAACCCATGAGACAGCTCTAATAGACTCTGTTTTACTGCCTAAGAAGAACTGAGACGTTAAAAGACTTGGTTTTGGAACTGTGAAAGCTTTTGTCTTGGTTCATTTTGAAAATGTGCTTGATACATTGAAACACAGAAAGGTCAGATTTAGTTTGCTGTGGAATGAACTTAACTTGATTGTGAATACAGCCTGGTATTGTAAGTTCAATTATGATTGAAGTTTCAGTCAGACTGGATAAAGTCATGACTTGCATATTTTTTATAGTTCTATAAAATATCTTAGAACTGTCCATGGCTTCAATGCATGGCTCATCTGCAATAATGTTTACTTAAGAGACGTGCAAAACACAGAGATTCCATTTTAGTCTATGCTGTGGTCATATGTAGTGAGTCTTTACTTCAGTTGTGCTATTTTAATGCTTATTATCCTTGTGAGGGGAGACACTGCAAATAGAGATGAAGTTATATTCGTTGTTTCACTGAAAATGATCTCCTGGGGCTGGGGACATGGCTAGGAGAGGCTACATTTTTATGTTGTTCATGGATGCCCACCAGCACTTTGATTCCAAGTTCTAAATCTAGCAGCAGATGCAAGCCTATATACTTGGGAGCTTATGTTCTCTAAAAGATAAATGGTTCTCTATGTATTGCTAACATGTTCATAAAAGGTCAAAGTACTTTTGCACCTATAGGACTACATTTTATTGTTGGTTTTCAGAGCTGCACATCGAATTCAGGAACTTGCTTGTACTAGGCCAGTGTGTCTTATCACTGAACTATGTCTCCAGCTCTGAAACACATAAATATATAAGGTGGTAGAAGACTTGGGGTATGGTGGTACACCTTATAATTCCAGTTACTTGGAAAGCTGAAGCTGGAAGGTGACAACTTTGAAGCTATTCTGGGTTGTATATAGAGTTCAGAGTTACCTTCTGTAATTCAGCAAAATTCTTTTCTCATAATTTAAAGAGGGTCTGGGTTTGTGGCCCAGGGTAAAATATGTTTCCAGACCGTGCAGGTTCCTTAGTGATCGCAAGAGCCCAGCACTACAACAAATACATAAATGATAGGCAAACGAGTAATCAAAACAGATAAGAAGATAACATAAGTCAAGATCTTTTGGCACAGAGAGCTACTAACTGAGACATAAATTGCATCTTTACAGGGCCATGCAGGTGAGGGAAAGAAAACAGCAAATAGTTCTGCATGGGGCCCAGCATAATGCTGTGTGTTGTATATGTGATAACAGATTCAGGTACCAGATTCTTGGATGTAGCACAGAGAAACTCTAAACATTCATCATCAAAAGCGTAGAGACAGCCTTCAGAGAAACATTAGGAAATCCCAGACTGACTCGTTAGAAATGTTTTTCCCAAGTGATGTTTTGACTTTCACACAAGAAAGTTTTAGTTTAGTAACTGGTTGCTGTTTATTATCCTAACCATTCTTCTGGCTCTAATTATATAATAGCAACTAGTGTTTCCCACTCACTCTTTTATCTTTACCACAGACAAAGTGGGAGTGTGTACAGTGAGAGGTATGGATAGAATTCAGTGTTTTAGGTTAATGGGCAGTGCCACTCAGATCAGCACTCCCTGTTTGCTCCTCTATTCAGCAACTTAATGTTCAGTACCATGAGTCCAGGAGAACTGTGTTCTTAGGGGTCATGTGGTATGACTTGAGAGCACAAAAGACAGTTGTTTATTAATAAATAGATTGTTATTTATTAATTATATTATATTATATTATTAATTAATTGTATTACAACATTATATTCATTATTATATATTTATATCACAATCACATTATATTTATTATAATTATATTTATTAATAAATAGGTTATTAATAAATAGACTTAGTCTATTTCCTATGGTATATATTCCATATGCATAAAACGTTAAAAGTTTATTTCCTATGGTGTGGATTTCTTACGCATGTTGGGAAGGCCTCTTATCTTTCCAGGACTCAGAAATATAACTTCCTGTTATTCTGTGCTGTAGCTGCTGGGATCCTATAGATAAAAAAGATAAGCAGGCAAGGGGCATCACTTTATATTTATAAAATTACGTTTTATTTATGTACTCTTCCTCTCGTGTGTGAGAGTATACTACGCTGTATGGACTACCTTCAAGATTTCAGGACTTTGGTTACATCGAGACATTTCCTAGGTTTTCTGCTTCCTCTCTAGACAATACAGATACCTAATCCATAGTTTACACCAGTATTTGTGGTTCCCACATGTAAGAGTCTGCACTTCCCAATGGATACCCACACCCGGTTCAGGCTGCACGCTTTCCCGAACTCGAGCCCACGAGAATGGACGATTGTCCTGAGGGTTGGAAAAGAGACACATACACAAAAGAGACCTTTGCTCATTTACCAGAGTAAATGGCAACTTTATTAAACTCAAGTCGGGTATATATACCAGTGGGCTAGAGGGATCGAAAATGCAAGGCCTCCTCCCATCCAGGAGCAAAAGGAGAAGATTAAAGCTTCCCGGCCCCTTGGGCAGGGTCAGCTAGGGGAGGCAGGCTATCGGCCCACTGCTAAGACCTTGAATACAAGTGGAATCACCATAACAAAGAGAACCAGGTTCTTGCTAAGTTATCCCCTCAAGCCAGAGCTAGTGCAGAGTCTCCAGGGAGCCAGAGGTCACATGGCCCTGCGAATCGCCAGGAGAAGGGAAAAACCTTGGTAGCCACACCCACATTTATACCAAATGCTGCTGCTATGCCTGGTATCAGACACAGGCTGCAGATTATGATGTCTATCTAGTTCTAGAGCTTTCTTACCATTCTGGGCATCCAGAATCTTCCAGTAGATTTACACATTCTTCTAGCTAAACTCATATAATCCCCACTCAGGTTTCCTTACATCACCGTCCTGTCTGGATTGTATTCCATGACGTCACCATACTGCCTGGATCGTGTTCTATGACATCACCATCCTGTCTGGATCATATTTCCGCTCAGGTGGAGACTAAGAGATCCTTCCATTTCACCTTTTTATTTAGACATGAAATGACAAAAGTTTCCAAAGAAAGTGGTTCTGTGGTCAACTCACAGGTTCAGAGCCTAAAACAGTTTAAAGCTTTCATATTGCATGAGAATTGATATTCAGAGAGTTAATGTGTTAAATTATTCAAAACTTCTTGGGTTTAAATTCTAGACTCAAAGCAGGGCAGGTGGAGTTTTCATTGACTAAAGCTTCCTCAGGACATTGAAACCTCGTGATGTATGTGGAAAATTACCGGCTGGGTGGGAATATCCAGTTCCTGCAGGGCCACCAGGCAAAGTTTCAAAGGGAACCCATGAGTTATATCTCATCACTGTGGCTTTATACAGGATGTCAGGATTCTCCTAACTGAATGCCCCCAACATGGGAATGCTGCAGCTAATGAGACTCACTGGCTAAGATTATTTGCTTTTCTATTGTTGGAAAGAATGCACGGAAAGAATGCATGTTTAAAACCTAAGTGAAATCATCAAAAAGGAGCCTAAGTATTCCATAGGCATTCACCAGTGTGTGCCACGTAAGAGCAGTTAGTTACGGTACGAACCATCTAACTGTAGAGTTCATATCTTTTGTGTGGCAACGTCTGACAGAAGAGCTTTTATGAATAAATACTAAGCATGGGTAGTAGATCTTCATTATATATTATGTGTAAATACTCAGAATTTTAAGACAATGTTTTAATTACCAAATATGATTGACATACAAAACTTTCCCATATATAACTAGGAAATGCAATGACCAAGATATGTAAAATCTAAGCACGCTCAAAACAGAGTGTGCAATGTTTATTTAATTTAGCATTTTTAGCACTTAATAAGGATAGTAGCACTTTGGGTATTAGTGAGAAAAATGAAGTCAACTGTATTTAATTTAAATTTGCCTAATTAATAAAAGTTGAACCTGCAAGCTAGTTTGTGGCCTGAGCTCTATTAGAGGAGAGGATTGCGCTCAGCATCGTTAGCTTCCCTCTTGTGACCAGTCAGCACTGGTCTAATTTTCTTCAGTCTTTAAGTGTCTAAGATACACTGAAGCCAGAATACCTTCAGGATTTTTTTCATCTAAATGGGGTGAAATTATCCTGTGACAAAATATCGTCTTTCTCTATTTTAAGCAGGTGTTGGTTGTTGCTTTTGTTGAGTTATTAGGGGTCGAATCATTGATCTATTTTCCCAGGCCTTAAACATTTTAATATTGAAAAACCACTCTTGCATTTTAAGCCTTATTTACTTCAAGTAAACGGACAGGGCCTACTCCAGACTGTTTCTCCTGTGTGAGTTAGCCCCACTAGATGGTAGATGGCTAGATATTTGTAGTCCCTGAAAGAAAAGACTGTTCTGTATCCATTGTCATTGTCCTACAGGGAGCTCTTGTCTCACATCTCCTCTTTCTTCCTGACAGGGATTCGACAAACACGTGGATGTGTCATACATTGCCAAACATTACAACATGAGCAAAAGCAAAGTAGATAACCAGTTCTACAGTGTGGAAGTGGGAGACTCAACCTTCACCGTTCTCAAGCGCTACCAGAACTTGAAGCCGATTGGCTCTGGGGCTCAGGGAATAGTTTGGTAAGTAGAACCGGTTTGTTATACTTTCAGGGGAGTAATGCTGGATTCGTTGACAAGATACAGACAGATAAGCACACCAATATGAGGTGAAATACACATACTGAAAATATGAAATTGATAGGCATCATTCGTTTACTCATTTTCCACTTGTTAACAATATGCAACATGGCTTACAATATTTTCCTGGTCACCAGAAAACAAAAACTATAACACAAAGACATAGACCCAGAGGATGGGGTGCTTTAGTCATTGCTACTGTATTTAGCAAAGTTTATCTGCATCTTTCAGAGCAAGAAGAATTGTATCTGAGACAGGGTCAGTTAAGAGGGATGAGTGAGCTTTGTCTATGGCTGTTTAAGTTTGTACTGGTGAGCTCTGTATCACCTAATCACAAGCTAGACTCATTTGGGAAGATGTGATCTCAGTTGAGGAAATGCCCCCATGAGATAACCTGGTAGGCAGTCCTGTGAGGCATTATTTTAATGAACGATTGATTTGCAAGTTCTCAGCCCACTTTGGGCAGTGCCACCCCTAGGCTGGTGGTCCTGGGTGCTTTAAAGAAGCAGGCTGTGCAAACCATGGCGGGAAAGTCAGTAAGCAACATCCCTTCATGGCCCCTGCATCAGCTCCTGCCTCCAGGTTCCCACCCTGTGTGAGTTCTTGCCTTGATCTCACTCAGTGATGAAGTATGACTCGGAAGTGTAAGATGAAATAAACTTTCCTCGCCAAGTTGCTTTGGTCATGGTGTTTTATCGCAGCAATAAAAATTCTAACTAAGACAAAGCTCAGTGTTCAAAATTAACTTCATAGAAGCAGTATAAAATATGTTTGCTTAGGACAACTGCCTATAATTCCAGTTCCAGTAGACCCACTGCCCTCCTGACCTCCATGGTTTCTGGCATGCACACGGCATACATAAACTCATACATGCAAACAAACTCTCCCTCCCTCCCACCACTTCCCTCTCTTTCTCTTTCTCTCTCTCTCTCTCTCTCTGTCTCTCTCTCTGTCTCTGTCTGTCTGTCTGTCTGTCTCTCTCTCTCTCTCTCTCACACACACACACACAAATAAATTTTACTAAACACTTGCTTACTCTTTCCTAGGCTCCTTATTCTTTCATGTTATGTTTGAGTGATTAAATGAAATCACCTATATCTGAATTAACCATTGTGATACTCATAGAAAACTAACGTCAAATTAATTGGCAAACACTTTTTTAAATAGTTTTAATAAGCAATAAGTTACATATGTTAACTAAATATATGTAGTATATTTATTAGCATGGTAATTTTCAATTTTTGATTATTTATACTAGTTAGTAAAATTTAGTATATGTACTCTAAATGTATTTAGACATGTGTATTTATAAAGGATATTTATTAATACAATGTATTTTGTCTAAATTACTGACATATTAATTTTTATGTCTTTGGAAAAATGTATACAGTATGGGATAGATGAAGACAAAGTTATATTTATTTTTTAAAACTTAAACATTTTATCCATTTATAATTCTTGAAATACTCTTCTATCAACCATGGTGTGCTGCCTACACTATACCCTAGGGCAATGGTGGGGTTTGGTGTGTTTTGTTTCTGTTTCTCTTTTTTAGTGTGGTTTTATTTTGTTTCTTTGATTTTGTTGTTGCATGGGGTTTTGTTTGTTTTCTAAGAAAGGTAGAGAAGGATGGGTAGAGAAGGAGACAGGACTGGAGAGACTTGAGGGGAGGGGAAAATATGATAAATATATGTAAGTTTAATATTGGCTTAAATAATAAAAATACAACAATAAAAAGACTCGACTATAAGAAAAAATCAGAAATGCTATTTTAATGTTAGCAATGGGCAGTTTCTATTCTTTCCCCTGTACTCAATGTACATTTCTTGGTAACTTGAAATTTGGTCACTTCGTTATGCCAGCTGCTTTTAGTTCAGAGTCTGCACTGTGGACACACTTCCCAGTCAACTGGTGTGACTACAGGGCACTGTGGGCACACTTCCCAGTCCAGTCTGCTGGTGTGAGTGTGGGGCACTGTGGGCACACTTCCTAGTCGGCTGGTGTGAATGCGGGGCACTGTGGGTACGCTTCCCAGTCCTATCGGCTGGTGTGAGTGCAGGGCACTGTGGGTATGCTTCCCAGTCAACTGATGTGACTAAAGGGCACTGCGGGCACGTTTCCCAGTCGGCTGGTGTGAGTGCGGGGCACAGTGGGCACGATTTCCAGTTGCCTGGTGTGACTACATGGCACTGTGGGCATGCTTCCCAGGTCAGGGCACTAGGATTTAGATCACACCTACCAAGCGCATGGAGGCTGCTGTAGAAAAGTCACCTGTAAGTTGCCATTCTTCTATCACATTACGATTTGAAAAGCGGAGCATCTTTGTGTTTTCCAACAATGGGTTAAAATTTTCCTTTCAAAAACATTGAAAT